CGAGTCTTCGGCAGAACGGAAGTCCATTCGCGTAGCATTTGAGGTGAGTCCGAAAGTGATTGGCTGTGTCTTCTGGGCTGTGGCGCCGTGTGGTCTGGGAGAAGTTTAACCCACGTTTCAGCCTCCATCATTAGCGCTCTGATAATACTATTATTGTTGTGTTTGTTCGTGGTGTATTTAACGCGTCAAATGACTAATGAATACTGAATTGAAAGGATATGAAAGGAAGCGGTGGTCGCGTAACTTAAGGTACTGTCCCGGGTGGGATTTCAGGTTCCTACGGCGGCGGAATTTATCTGGAATAACTGAGGACAACGACGAAAAACCTGTCACGATAGCCGGTTCCGCGACCCCCCGAATGCGAAGTATGAGTACCAACCACTCGGTGTTGAACTGATGTCTGTTAGGGATGGCTCTCCTCGGTTATCTTCATTATATGTAAGAAATGTAAGTGTCGGGGGAGACAGACAATTCTTTGTCAGTACGCATGCGCAGTGAAGTAGTTGCCATAACCAAGAACCAGTCACAGAAGATTTGAGTTCATTACTCTAAAAGGAGACGTTCTGAATGTGAGGGGTGGAGGGCCTTTCCTGCCTAAGCGATAGGTCGCTGCTCCATTATATAAAATCCCACTGTGCAACGTCCGACTGGAAACAAAGGCGAACAGAAAAGCGCTAGGCTGTGAAGTAATGACTTTGACAGACGAGTGCTCAATCTACTGTCGCTTGTTCTGCTTCGGGACGTTTAGCGAGAACGCACGCATGCAGCGGAGTCCTTCGCTCAGATGGACAAGAAATTTCCCCACCCCCCAAACTTTCGACACTTATGGTGACCTATTGTCACTACGTCAAAGCAAGTCAAGCCTAATCTCGCTTCATCACGTTTTGTCACGCTTTGTAATTCTTCAAGTTTCGACACTTATGGCCACATCTCGTCACGACATTACAGTATGTCACGCCTAGACTTTTGACACGCTTGGTCACGCTTTGTCACACATTTCAAATCTTCGTCATGTTTTAACACTTACGGTCATTTCTCGTCACGACGTCATAGTAGGTCACGCCTAGTTACGCTTTGTCACGATTGCTTTAATTTACAGAAGACTCGGTTAATTTTCCATAATTTGAAATACGTTAGATGAAGTTACGACAGGTTAGGTTAGGTTGGGTTATTTTAGTTTGTTTTATGTTATGTTTGGTTGATGTAGATTTGATCAGGTTGGGTTAGGTACGTTTTTGTAAATATTTGTGACGTTTCGACACTTATGACCACACCTCCTCATCCGGATAATGTACGTCACGCCGAGTCACGCATTGTCACTCTTTTCAAATCTTCGTCATGTTCAAAGTTCCATCACTGTACCCTGTCCCGAAGCAGATGAATCCACTTCACATCTTCTCACATCATACCTTTAATATGTATTTAATATTATCCTACCATCTATACTTAGGTCTCCCAAGTGGTCTTTTCCTTCAGGTTTTATGTGACCCCATGCCGTCAGTCTCCTTCCTCTTACAACGACGTGAGACTCGGCTGATTTTGCGCGCACTTTATTTATAAACGCCCTGTTTTCTGGATGTTTGAAGTAAAAATTCCTTAAAATCTGTAGAGCAGTGATTGAGTGTGATGTTATCTTGAAGGATCTGCGCACGCGCCTCGGCTCGGCAGACGTCTGTCTTTCTTTGCCGTCTTTATTCCAGTTTTTCTGGCGCCGTCAACTCGCCATTTAGCCCAGACAATAGACAGGCGTCGTGGTAGGTTTAGCTCGGGACCGGCAGTGTCTCCGCGTAAGAGTGCTGTAAAGGACTCGCTTCTCACTTGTTTTGTTAAGTGAAAAAAGGAAACATGAAAGTAACTTCTGTCTTTCTCCTTCTTCTTGAACTGATAGACTATTCTCCTCCCCCCTCAAAAATTTTCTTAAAGGCTTATGAATTACATCTTTGTAGCTGAGTGGCCATCAGCATCAGAAGAAGGACTTTGTTCCTCGTACTTAGTTAGTTAGTTAGTGAAGTGTTTTGAAAATTGCAACAGCAGTCCCAAGAGTGCTGGAAACACAAAAGTGTTGACTTGAAACACTTTTATTCTAACGTTACTGACAAGTGCAAACAAAATGTCGGTCAGGCATCTGCGCGCCAGGCCACAAGGTAGAACAGGAAGTGACGAAGAGAAACGAGATGCAGCAAAGAGTTCGTTCTTGTTCTGTCCCATATTTGGAGCGCATTTGACATTTAAATGTCTCGTGACACATCCCACTCATAATTAAAAGGTATCGCGTTTCAGGCAGCACCGAAAATAGAAGAGATCTAACCCTTTTGAACCCTCTAATGCACCACACCATCCGCGAATGAGTGAAATCTTTGTCTGCCAGATTGATTTCGCGTCCTTATAAAAATATTCGTTGGGTGTTGCTGTCACTTATTTGCTTGGATTTCATGAGGACCTCCTCCACTCTTGTTCGCAAGAGTAGTTCTGACAGCATTGGGAGATGCAGCTCTCCGGCTCCAGATGTATTAGTTTCGCCAGTTATGAAGCCATTTCTTCACTCCAGTGCGTTGTCAGGCATCCTTTACGCTCTGGCGTGAGCGCAGTCGCCTTGCGGGTCCCGTCCATGTACGTCTCGCGTTCTTCTTAACACCTAACAGGGTGCACGAATTACCTCGGACTGCACAGCGCAGCAACAGTCAGCGTGATGTGGCGTCGGTACTCCAAAGAGTACACTTTCCGGTCTCTTTTGCACTTCCGGAGCCGTACACCTGTATTCCGTTGTGTCTGGTTTGAATCTTGCTGTTGCATTATGTGAGAGTTGAGGATCTTTCTACGCTGAGGATGATGACGTTCTGGGCTGTGACGCCGTGCAGACACCGCCGTCGGAATAAGACTGCAGTGGCCAGTTAAGTTGTTCCTTAGCTTTCGATGGAAATTGTCCACGTGTCTTGTCCGGCCGACAGTACAAGTTTAAGGTGGATCACTTCCGGCGAAGATTTGAAAAGCATACCGGAAGTTTCAACCGGATACAGAGAGGCGTCATTTGCATTTGCCGTTCATTTCTTCTGTACAAAATGGAGACCCCTCCCTTCCTCTCCTTCGCCCAGTAGCACCGCGCCCTGATTCGGCTGAGCGCTTCCAGGCCACACCGCGGGACAAAGTCGAGGGCGGATGGGTCATGACGTCGGAGACCAGGGATCAATCAAAAATGACCACCCGAGTGGATCATTTATGCATTATTTATCAGGTTATTTGACGACGATATTTCAACTCTCAAGAGTTACGTATCATCGAATGTGGTGGGAAGACACTTATGAATTGTGAGTGGATAATGATTTGGAATGTGATTGTGGCGTATTTCAAGGATATCCTGTGTGAACAGACTGCCATAAAACACAAAACAGCTCGAAACGTAGCCGACATTCGAACCGGTTTCTTCCGGAGCTGCACCCAGCGGCCATGTGACGACGAGGGGTTCCCATGGCGACACGTCACGCCCTCAAGCACTTTTCCTTTGTGCAGTCATGCTGCTGGTCTGTGTATCGGGTTCTCTTATCCGAACTTTAGAGGAAGCTGCGTCCACTTTACCCTCATCCGCTTCCCGGTTACCCGCTTCGTTTTACAAACGCCACCGTCGCAGGTTGTTATGGAGCGGTGGGCCCTCTCTCTCTCGCCACCCCACCCCAATACACACACACACCCTGAAAATTAGAGTCGTTTACCTACATTTTGTAGGAACAACAACCGCGCGCAGTACTGAGGTTACAGCTACTTTAGGGTCCTAAAATGCCATTGGTAAATGACGTTTAAAAAACTTTCGACTCTTCTTTCTAATTTTCTTTTACATTGTAAAATAACAACACGGCGGCCGTTCGAAATGTGTATTATCTTTCCATAAGATGACAATGAATTATGTGTTGTAGCTACGCGCACGTGAAGATGCATTATGGAATTTTTTAATATTTTAAAAATTGCAAATACGACTGTCTACTGCGAGACTTTGAAGTCAGATCTGGACAGTTTGCTGTGTATGCGTAGAAAGTGATAAATAAGTTGAGGTTTCAGGTTCTCACGGCGATGAGAACGAAGACGACTGCCATCTGGCATGTTGCGCCGTGTAGTTCGGCTGAAGTTGGCCGACGTTTCGGACGTCAGTACTGTGTCTGTCATCAGGTCTTTTGACGATGGAGGCAGCAAGGACCTCTACCAGATTGCACGGCGGAGCACCCCAGGAGGTTGTCGTCTTGTACACTGATCCATTTGGGGGTCTACTTCTTCCTCTCAGACTCCTGAATCAGTCGGAGAGAGAGAGAGAGAGAGACCGAAACTTGATGTGCTGAAGTTTACCCCGTCTCCTATCCGGATGGAGTCACATTGTCGCCACGACAGAATTCTTTCCAAACCTTCACTGTAAAATACAGCACGACAATATAAATGTTTTCAGAAGAAAGTGTTTCTTGTCTAGCTCCCACTATCTTGACTTTTAAAAGGACAGAGCACGTCACTTCATCACTTCACTGCGTGTCTGCACTGCACTACAGGCCTCTTGAAACGTCGGTCCCAGCCGGTTCAGGACTTGGCTAACGCTGTTCGTGGTTCTCATCCCGAACTGTGCCTGAAAGCGGGCTACTTCCAGATTCCCAGCTATTCATCATTTTTTATCATCGTCCCACATCATCTGACAGTATACAAATTCTGTAGTTGAAACAGTGTCGTTTTATAACAAGAACGACAGCATGAGAGTTACGTGAGCCCTGGCCGCTGTCTGGGTATCTGCGGTTCTAAAATATCAAAATAAGTCACCATGGCTTGTGGTCCTTACGGCGCGGATGGAACAGCTAGGCTCCATATGTGGGTGGGGGATAATTTCTCGAGTTCTTTAAATCGGTTGGCATTCGTTGCTTTAAAATTGTCCGCCATTATGAAGTGGTGCTGATTATCAGGGAAGGAAGGGTGACGGTAGAATTAGCCGGATTGCATTAAAGTTTTTCCACAGAATAATTCATACGCACACAGAAATTTTCTGGGATTTACTGATATTAATTTATTACAGAAGCTTGTGAGATTACCTATGAGACCTAACATAACAGATGTGTGTATGATAACACTGCAAAATCAGTTTGTGTTATAAAGTTGCTGACACTGTCCCTGAAAATTCCCACAACCAAATAATTACATATAGCTACAGTTCTCAAGAAAAATAAAAATCTACGAAGTCGAACAGCTTACATTTCCTCTTACTGAAAGTGTTCGTCTGTGCCTGTACACATGTTTTACTGCACAAGTCTGCAACTTTCTTCTCGCAAAGAAATTCTGATTTGTACTTCGCACTGTGGAAGAGTAGACCTCCTCTGGAAATTTGTAGGTCACGAAGTCGAATCCCATAAACAGGAGACGTGCGCTTTTAATTTACATTGTACACATTTCATGATTTAACGTGCGATATATGAAGTTCAAGGTACAGTGGCGCGAACTGCGGGACTTCTAGCGGCAAAACATTGAAATTGTAAGCTATTTTTGATAATTCATCATTATCAGCTTTATGCGTCTTAAACCTAGTTGCCCGTTAACGCTGTCATGTTAAATAAAGTTTCCAAACTTTTACATGATAATCGTGTAACTACTAGCTCCATAACAGCTCTTATCTGTCAGTAGCTAATCCTGCAAATTAAAATATATTAATAAATTTTGTAATGTAATGAATGTGTTGAATTTCTAGCGAACCTCGTGTTTCCACAAGAATTTAAATTGTTTGTGTTCCGGTTTTCTTAAATTGATGTACAGTTTCCCCGTACCTGAGTTCGGAACCCGGTCTGAAGAGAGGCAGGACACTAAATGTGCGCTGTGGAAACATGTGTACAGTCACATTACAACGTCAGTCGCTGCAACTATAAAGAGTTCTGAACACGCAAAAACTTCATTCAATGAGAAACACACAGTTGTAAGAGGCATCTTGCCGTTGCCCTCTGGCTTCCAAGGCACGCACACACACACACACACACACACACACAGAATAGCTTATTGGTTCTATGAACAAGATAAACAATAGTTTCTAATTATAACAAAACTTTGGCTATTAGCTGTTAAGATTTGGTTATTACCAAATTTAATAATACGTGTTAAATATAAATAATCTTAGGTTGTTCACAGCCGTTATAATAAAAAAAACAGTAACTGCCGAACCTAATCTACCCCTTACAGAACAATTTTAAAAATCTGTGCATAAACTCTGAAACAGAAAGATTATAACAAAACATAATTCTCTTCCAACATTATTTGGTACTACGTAAAACTGTGAAAGGCTGAATCATAACAAATAATAATGCTTCCTTCATAAAGACACGCTGATTGTCAGATACTTGCTTCTAAGGTTTTATAAATTTCCACCTGTCCCTGATTCTGAGTACCGATTCTTGTGGTCGTCTCGCAGCCACCGGTCTTGTTCCTCAATTCTCCGCCATCGGGGGCTCAGACGGCCCCACTTTCTCCCACTGCCATCGTCCCGACAAGGGACAGTCATTCAGGAAGTCGAAATTCCACCGCAGTTTTCCAGCTTGCAAGTGCCGGAGCATTTCTTCCTCCATAGTGTGTGCGTGCGCATTGTCCCCTTCCGGTGCGCCTTCACTGGGTTCGACAGCAGCGGCGTTCGTACTCTCCACGTCGTCAAATCTTAAACGCCGGCATACTTTCGGTTTGTTTTCCATTTTCCTACCAAGATCGGCTGTCCGAACCCTGAAACATAAATGAAGCTCAGTTACCAGCGGACGTTCTTCGAAGGCCTCCATCGACAAAGAGGCTGCCCAAATGTGTTAAGACGCGTACTCCACGGAGTGCACAACGCTTCCGTGATTTCAGGTCACATTACGCCTCGTGTAAGAGTCGTAAAAGTCGCTTAGAAACTCACGCATTTTCCATCCCATATAAGCAAATGATGTGTCCTTGTGCTTAAATGGAAGAGATGTCGAAATATTGAACATGAAAAGAGGAGGACGATGCTCCGAGGTTCCGGGGCTTTTCGACACTCCTTTGCAGGTTCTTCGCCGTAATAGGAAGATGCTTTGTTCGCTGTGATCAGCTTAATGGCGCGTGGAAACAATGCCGTCGACATCCGAACCATTGTCTGCAGCCTTTCACCGGAAGACTGCCCATAAATGCCGCATCTCTGGCATTATGAACTATCCTCATATCAGCGTGACTAATTGGGGGATGGGCTGGGCGTGTAGCACCCGCGGACTGCACGAGGAATATGTACATTAGTCAGAAGATTCGGGATTTTAAGAAATTACTTGCAGATTGTGACAATGTGGATTGGTTTTGTGTGGCTCGAGAGTGGGGGGGGGGGGTTTTGGAGGGGGGGGCAGCTGAGCGACTGTCGGACTTTTCTCTGTGTGGGTGGACAGGAAGTGTTTCGTGATGCCGCGGATGTTCTTATTCGTAGAAAGCAAGGGCGAGTGCCTTCCTTTCTCGTTGTGACTTTTGAAAAATTAAGGAAAATGCTGCCAAGTAAATTAGTGTGACGACGTGGCAACACTGTTAACGGCGTGACGAAGTGACAGTTTCGAAATAAATCGGTTCCTGAGACGCTTGAACCTTTCATAAAACTTGTGAGTCGTGCACCCACGACTTATCTACCGGTTAAACATCGATAAGGTCCTGGTTTATTTGCTTTCGTTTTGTTTCAATCTGTTCATTACAGGAAGATAAGATAACTTTGCAGCGGGCTAGCCCAAGAGGAGCGTCTCTGGGTCTTACTGCAGCACGCGCCAGGAACTCCAGCTCCGAGCGAACGTAATTTCACGTCGGCGCTGGCAGTAACTCGAATAGCGAGTCGTTTTGCGTAATTTAAGGAACTCCCCCTGCAAGTATGTGGAGGAGTTCTTCTTACGAAGAGCACCAGTTAAGATGGCGACCGTGTGAAGAGGATGGAATGACATAATCGTGGCTCTTTCTGCGAGACAGCGTCGCCCGGACTTGCGTAATCTGTTTTAATGCGAAATTTGATTTGCGGCCATCGATTCCAGTTCGCCGCATTGTCAAACAGTTTGTTGGCTGTATTCCAAATTACGATGTTGCCCCTCATTCTGACCTCTAAAATTTTAATTATTGTTCCTCGGCGTTTAATTCCAAACCAATGTTCGTGTTAGCGGCTGATAAATTTTGTGCCTCACGTTTTCCTCCTTTGTCATGGACCCGAAAACGCGTAATGAAGGCGTTCACAAAAACATCCGCGTACCATTAAAACAAACACCCGAGGACAGGAAGCGCTGTGTTCATTTGCGAGTTCGTGAACTTCACTCGTGGGAGTGCCGTGGGGTTATGAGGAAGTCTCAATTAGGGGCTAATTAGTGGTAATGGTGGCTGGTGTGTGGGGCTCGGTGATGCACCAACTAGCTAGTCTAGTGCGCACAGATTGTCTGTCCTCATTATGAAACGCATACTCTGGAAACGGACCAGGTCGGCTTAGTTGTTAATCTCCGTCATGCCAATGGACCCGCCTAACTGAACAGTGAAATGCCTGCAGACTCTCTGTGCGTGTCCAGTTCGAGCAAACAGCGCTCATGTGTGAGATTTGAGGTTCTCTTCTTCTGGGTTGTAAAGCAGTGTGGGCTCGTGGGTAGAATCCAGCGTTTCGTAGGTACATTTTCTTCATCACCTCCGAAATGGCGGTACGTACTTCCGAATCAACACGGCGTCACACCCTAGAACGATGAAGACGTCATCTTCGCCTTGAGAACCTAAAATCTGACAAAGAGAAAAGTAGAAACTTCGCAGTTTGTATTAAGGCTCCTGTGCAGGAATCAGAAAGCCGATGTCTGAGCTCTCACGGCCGTGAAGCCTCAAACCCCGCTTCGCAGTTTGCACTTTTCACCACGTAATTGCGTAGAACATGAAGCACGTCGAAGCGTTTGTTGACCCCGAGTACGATAATCGAGTAAGTTCGCCATTTTTAAAGTTGGAGCGTTATACGCCGGCAGGAAAAAGCTGCCAATTGACACAAGTTCGTTCGCTGAACATTGCAGCTAGTCCGAAGATGGCTGGCTGTCTTCTGGACTGTAGATAATAACCAACGTTTCAGAGGTCCTTGCTGCCGCCATCATTAGGGCGAACAGATTAATTTCGGGAGATTTCATATTGTTCACACGGTCGCAATCGTCGCCCTGACGATGGAGGCAGAAATAACCTCCGAAACGCTGGTAAACTTTTCTCCAGATTACACGGGAACCGAGTATGCTCCTCACGCAGTTAAGTTGCCGCTTTTCAATTTCTAGCTTACTGGGTCATTAGGGCTCCATGAGGGTTGTTTTGTGTTCTCAGAGAATGATGATGACTTATTGACCGCAGAGTTAAGTGCACTTCACGTCATTTGATGGGCACTCACCGCTATGAGGACGGCGCTTCGAAGTCAACATACTGACTTAAAGAACTAGCTGAGTGGTGAATGCGGCTGGAACGTGAAACTGTTCACTGACCTCAACGTATTGTCAATATTTACAGTGCGTGGAGCTCCCTCCTCGTCCCACTACACCAAAAGTGGCCTTGCGTCTCGGCACATGACGTCTTGAGGTTATCAAAGTGACGCTATGTGGTCACCAACGTTTCGGAGAGACGTGTCGCTTCTGTCTTCAGGGTGCGGTGACCTGGAAGATGGAAGGGATGTCTTCCTCCGAAATGTTGATAATTGCCTGCATGGCAACACGGTGTCAGCCCAGGGGACCATGATCGACATATTTTCTCTCGCACTTCACTCCCCCCCCCCCCGAGACTGAAAATAATGCGGGACAACGCATTCTGCTTGCACGCGTAGAGTTTGTGCGTCTCTACGTTTAATTATCCAAACTGATATCCGCTGATTAAACATGACATTTTGAAACTTGGTAATCCACACTAAAAATCTGTCGAGCGAACTGAATTTGATTTATCTATCGTTGGTTTGCGCAAATCTGAAATAAAATTTGTCATGCAAAGATTAGGTACAGACCGACAGCTTCATTCGGAACTTCTTGATGTGATGAGTGTTCACTGAAATAATTGAAGTGTCTTGATTTATTTTATCTTTGTTCTGGGTGCAGTTGCTGCGGTAAATGAACCGAGTCACATCTGAAAAGACGTAAATTTTAAATCGCAGTTCCTCTGCGCGTTCTTTATCACGAATTTACGTCACTCGCACAATTATCAGGCATAAAGCCAATCTCACCTGTTTCGCTGTGTAGATCTGTTTCCTCAGAACGGCAGATCATAGACGCATTTAAGATATTACAAAAGAACTGGGAGTCACAGATGACAATAAAACGCTAAAATATCTCAGAATAAAATATTTTTTATGAAACTTGAGCACTTTTCTGAACCCCACTTCATGAATGCCAAAATAACACCACAGCGAAATGGCTGTCGTGACAAACCACGCGCTCCTGTGTCTTGCAACGGACTGGTGCATTGGAAGAGTAAAATTGTTGGCTTGTTGACGCAAGCAAAGACAGAGGCCTCAAGGACAGAACAACCGAACCGAGCAAAGTTTTGAATTTCTAAATTCATGTAGCAGAATCCTCCCTAAGAAGCCGATAGTCGCTCAGCCAGTGACAAAATTTCACTCCTTTTATGGAACCAGAATTTTCATTACCGCGTTCACAACAGCCCGCCTCCAGCCCCTATCCCGAGCCAAAATCATTTTTAAAATTATTCTTTAATGGCAACCTGGATCTTCCAAATGATCTTCTCTTTAGGAATTCCAATCAACGTTTTCCAAGCATTTCTCATCTCTCCTATTTCCTTGTATTCCTTTGTTTGATCATATTAATAAAAAGTTGTCAGTGGAACCACGGTTCCGGAGAATTAGACGTAAATACGTCTATACGGTAAGGAAGTTTATATATTGGCTTTATTCTAAATATTTCCTTTATACATGCTTTACAATTGAGATAAGTTTGATTAAGACTTTGCTTATTTAACTTAAATTAGTTACGCTTAAGATGGGTCTGTGGTAGCTGAATGTAAGGTAAGGTAATGTAATAATTCTTAAATTAAAATTAAATTATTTGGTTATTCCGTCAAATCACAAAGTATTTAAAAAAAATAATTGTAAATCGATTATTCGATATGGAACACAGAATGATATTTTAATTATCTTATTTTAAATACATTGTGATTTGACGGAATAACCAAATAATTTAATTTTAATTTAATAAGTCACAATATGACGCAACTACACTATCTTAGTAATAATTCTTATAAATATAATATAATATATAATATAAGATACGTACTTGTGATATTCTAAAACGTTTTCACCAGCACAAAATTATCTACTCCACGACGCACTTCTACAACCGATTCACAGCTCAGCTCTTTCCGCAATAACGAAAGCCGATTGTTGACGGCAATATATAGTAATGCAACAATGCCGACGAAAACTGTGACGCAACAGTCACTTTCTTAGGTAACAACAATGCAGTTACACTTTTTTGCCGAATGCCCCTTCCTGTTTGAAGCTTGTGACTGCAGTCAGTCTGCCGTTCTGTAAATGACTGTTCAGTGTTGACACCTTAGGAATTAAATGTAAACTTGTTTTTACGGAGTCGCATTCATTCAGCACGCAATGCGTTAGTACCAACGGAGTTAAGTTTTCGGGGATAAATGTAAAGGCCCCGTAGTGCAAAATATGAAACATTTCGCTTTGTCAGAGCGAAGTGTGGTTCAAGTTGAAGAAGAGGTTTTACATTGCACGTGAGCACCAAGTTTAATGGTGTTTGTGTGTTCCCAGAGAGTTCTTTTTAATGATCACAGCTCATGAATTCAAATTCATTGATTTGAGTGAGGACTTATTTGTAACAATTATAATAATTGCCACGTCTCAGAATAATTACACCAAGTCCGTTGTACTTCAGCCAAACAGAATTGTATATTCATTTGTTTGTATGGCCCTGGTTCCTAGTGCTTGAGCTGTTTCAAAATCGCTCTGGCAACTCGAAGCTCTTCACATTTCAAAGCGCAGCTGAGAATCTGCGCTCCAGTAAGCTTTAGGGCGGGAATGTCGTAAGAGATGAACACTGTCTTTTGTTCTGTGTTCACTAATAAAAACAAACGAACGTTGCTGCCTTCTCACAGTAGGAATGTTCTTTTGTTACTCCAGAGTTTAGGAAACAAGGTTTCGACATCGTTTGGTTCTGACTTGATCAGAACGGTCTTTTGATCTTCAGACGCTTGTTTTGTTCTTTTGAATAACATGACAAATAAGCATTTTAATTTAAAGAATATGATAATTGAGGGCACACAGGAATGTTGTGGATGTTTTGTTCTAAATAACAACTTCACATTATAATCAAGTATACAATTTCATGCACGAGTAACGCTTATTAATAGAATGTTTAGTCAAAAAAACAAAGAATATGTGAGGAATTTTGTTCTTGATATGACAGTAACGACGTTGCCAAGTGAGCGGAGGGCGTAGAAACCATCCCACTTTTTCAATTTCTGCTAACAGACACATCGCCACCACAAATGGCGTAATAGAGCAGTCACAGGGGCTACGACGACTTCGTTTAACTGGGCAACTACACTCTTGCTTTGTACAGTTTTAACGAGAACGTCGACTCGCGTATTCACGAATTGGTTGCTCGTGTCTAAAGACAAATTTGGGCCAAATAAGGAACTGCTTTGCTTGAAACCAACTACGAGCTAGACTAGACGCTTTGTCTGGACGTGTGTGATAACGGAATGCAAATTTAGTGCTGGTGGCACACGACCTGTGATTACACGTCAAATTCTTATAAATGCTGTTGAATGTACGGGCAGTTTTTGTTATGAAATCATTAATGTGTGTCCTGCGTGTTTGCTAAAGTAGAGCGTACTCACCTTCTCCAGTGAATATCACTTCCACTGCAAGAACAACAACACTTACGCCTTGTAAATCAGGCTATACGAATTCGACGTGTGCCGTCTGTGTGGCGACCGAATCAATACGACGCGCTGAATTGTCTGCGTAACGCGAATCGATTGCGGTACTTGAGTCTCCGGCCGACAGATGTCACTGTGTGAACTCTCCTCCCTCCCTCCCCCTCCCTCCCCCGCGACGAGGCAGTTTTCCTGTCATTAATCACGTAATCCAGATTGATGAATACAATTTTCGAAGTATTGATGGTGTTTGCGCCAGTAACAGGCGGAGATGCAATTTCCTGTATTTTTCACGGACGCATGAAATATACGAAATTTTGGTCTCACACCTCAAGAGAATAACACGGCCTGAGGGTGTTGGATAATTAGCCCCGAGAAAAACATTTTGGACATACGATAAAAGGAAATAACAGTAGGACGGAGAAAATTACGTAACGAGGAGCTTCAGTGTTTGAATTTTTCGTAACCCAAAAGTTCGCACGGTCGCCACTGCCAGGCTCTGTTGTTGATGCTGACAGGATTTCCATAACCTCACTTCCCGATGTCATAACGTAACCGGATTCGTCTGTTCTGCTATCCTGTCCAAATAAGATCTGCGCTCAGATCCCTCTTAATTCCGACGGTATGTTCACCGGGCATATAATAAGCTGGCATAACTCTCACGCAGAAGTCCCACGTAATTAACGAGAGGGCACTTTTTTGTGTCTTCGTGCCTGATACTGACAGGTTTATTTCCGACAGGAAGAAGTTACATAACTCTGGGAACAATCTCTGCCCTCCGCCCTCCCCCCGCGTCAGTAGACAATGACTGCTAGCTTTACTTTGCTTTAGAAGGTTGAGAACTCTGTTCTTGAATAGCTCTCATCGGAAAACATGGTATAATAACCCATGTTCAGAGATACAAATCTCGGATTCTTGTATCAAAAGTACAATTAACTAGCTCTTTTTTTACCTGAGATGCATGTCAACAAACACATCTTTTAAATAAAGCGGGTTTATGTACGATTTGAGGTTTTCACAGCGGTGAAGCTGGTTCAGTCTCCATTTTATTTTCAGTTTGACCCATGACACAATTTAATAACGAAACAAGGATCATTGAGTGAAAAGGAAAGAATTAGGACACCAGTAAAAAGTAAAGCTGCCCCGCTACACGCCATGTAGGCGCTTGGGGGGAGAGGCGTATAGCTCCTACTATTTCTTGACCTCGGCACCAGATGGGGTGAGTGGTCAGCATCACGCCCCGGCCGCGTTTTACCCCGGGGGGTTAAGGACCCCGGTACCCATTGGATATGAGGCTGGGTGGGCCCCAGAGCCGGTCTGGGCGCAGAGGCTAGAGGAAAAGTCCTCCAAGGACAGAGTATGATAAATTAAACAAAATACACATGAAATGACGCAACTGTGTAGACAGATCTTGAAATGCAAGTAGATTGGTCTGCGATACCATTGCTGTGAGCGTGCCCGCGTGCTCTCGGTATTTCCGAACCTAAAAACAACTGAGACCTTAAGCGACATGTTTATTTAAGTCAGATTAAGTTTTCTTAATGGTTAATTCATTTTATTTTCGTGGGTTTTGCTAGTGACCGTTTCCGGTTGAGGACCATTACGTCAGCTGCTGTCGGCTGCGCGCCAGAGAGCGAAATACAATTTTTTCCGTGTTCGTTGAGTGTTCGGACCTTAGAACACGCTTGTGCCATGTGCATTAAATTGCACGAACTTTAAGCTGTGGCTTGTGGGACCCGTATCATGACTTCTTGTCCTTATAAGAAGTCCGGACGGCGTTACCGCCCGGGACCCGACGTTTCAACGAGAGTTCCGAGTTTGCAATTTCGTCACGCACCGACGAGTTATTTCCGCCCGAGCCATTTATGACCAATGACTTTGGTTTGTTTCGGCCATGAGTCTTCCTGCCGACGAGAGTGAATTCGTAATGATGGCGATTAAGCGTGTGGATAAACGAACGACTTCTCGCCCTGAGGTTAATAATAAAGCCTGGAGCTTTGGCTCCACTCCACAATTGACCTTCATGGCGTGTGCTCAAAGGTGACGTAGACGTGCCCAGTCATTGCTGCTGTACGTTTGTTGTTGGTTTGTTTGTTTGCAGTAAGCTACGAACAGACCAAGGTGTCACGCTATGTTTACTGATAATGTCATTAATTGTACTTCACTTGTCGTTAACCGCTTCTAGTAAGGGGTCGCAGCGCTTTAAAAATTGGCTCATCTGTGACTGCATACGAAGAACTTAACGCATTTTGCTACCAGGCTGTTTCAGAACCATCTGTATTGACTTTTGACAAAAACATTTCAGGGTTGAAAATTTAAAAGATGTAATACACGTAGTTTAATTGTAGGTTTTTTGTGTAGGGGGCGGGGGATAATGCTATTTGTATCACTTGTTTGTATTAGCTAGCATTTTTTTAAAAAAAAAATTGAAAATACCGAATTTGCGCTTCGGGTAAAGGGAACACCGAAATGTGTAAAAATGCATTCGGTTTTACTTCGCAATGAATTTCCTCAACGAGAGTCTCATAAACAGGAACTTATATCACTAAAGTACGCGCATTTATGGTTTTAGTTCTCAGATGCCGCGTAAGTGATATTCCCTGGCCTTCAGCTGGTGAAATCTTCTCGCCTCAGACGGATGACCAACGACCCTGATTGTAGTTCTGTATGGGGGCACACACACACGGGATTTCGCGAATCATACTGAGATATAGCAAAGCGGCGCTGTGGAGACACGTCGACGTCAGACTTTTTTTTTAAAAAAAATGCCAGTTCGGGGTTTGAACTCAAACTACCACTTCCTTTAGGTCACATTGCACACCGACAAGAGCCTGTAATTTCTTTTGGTTCACTGGGCAGCGACTGGCTAAAACGTTCATTCTCTAACGCCAGAGACACAACTGCTTACGTCGTGTAAAAGAGTCGAATATATACAGAGGCGTTCTATTTGCATACCGGAAAGGGACCCCGGAGTTCACTCGCTGCGACGCTCCGTGGGCTGCAACGCCTCTGTAACGCGGTTGCAAAGAAGAACGTTACTTCCCTTGTCGGGAATCGAACTCTTGCTTCGTATTCGGAGGTCTCGGTCCACAGACCGACTGTTACGACGACTGAGGTTATCGTATTTTTCCTCAGTCACTCCAGGAAAATGTCGGAATTGTAGGAATGCCTTAAAACAGGCCACGATCGTTAATTTTCACACGCTCTCCAACACATCATGCGCTCTTTTCGTCATTATTCTACACTGCGTTGTCCGTGTTCGATCACCACCGATAAATGAACCACAAATAAACAGACTAAAACTTACATGATCTTGTGAAATGCTGCACAGTGTTGTATTGTGTAAGCCTGTAGGCCTATATAGTGTACTGTAAAATATCAATACGAAGTCTGATGTGCGTAATCGTGCCATTTAATTAATACAAAAGTCGACGTACCTTTTAGGCTTGGTGGAATATCTGACGTGCGTGTAGTCAGGAAGCTCCAGCTAGGTCTTTGGCTCGCACCTTTGCTCGAACACGGCGCAGCGACGACTGGCGGGAGTTCAACCGCGTTCCGGGTAGTCTGGAGACTGCGCAGGGACCTTTATGCTATTTTTTCAAACCAATGTTTATGACCGAGTAACCTCACGCCGTGTAGGAGAGCCTGGAGCTGCTACTGGAACCACCCTTCCACACTCTCGTCTCTATTTTCTTTTCTTGAAGTAAGGGTTCAAACCCAGTGACGTGCCAGGAGCTCGTACGGTTACAGCTCTTGATTTTTTCATGCTCACTCTAGACGGAAAGTCGAGAAGAGAGACTTTCAAACTACTGAGTATGGCCACTTCCTTCCAAATTAACACATTTAACAAGCCAAAAATTAATAAAATCGATTAAATTTAAATGAAGTAAGGCGTACCAAATCTCAGCTAATTACACCTTCGTTTATGTAAACCAGATTAACTTGGCAAAGCCTGGTTTACGCCTCATCTCAAGGTTTAGCCCGTTCGGGAATCGAACTATGAACTTGGACCTGCACACTACTCATTCTTAACCTCGGCACTAGATGGGGTGAGTGGTCAGCGTCACGCCCCGGGGGGAAAGGACCCCGATACCCGTTGGATAAGAGGCTGGGTGGGCCCCCAGAGCCGGTCTGGACGCAGAGGCTAGAGGAAAAATCCTCTGCCTCCGTCGGGGATCGAACCAAAGTCGTCCACTGAGCTACACCGTCTCATGTACCTAGCCGATATATTCCCCGCCATTTTGTGGGACCCCAAAGGTTTTTTGTTGCTGTGTTCACAGAATCCCACCACTCAGCCAGTAGAAATTGTCGTAACCTATTTTTAAAATAAATTTTAATATTATCCTTGAGTGTACGCCTGGGTCCATAATAGCACACTCAAAATCAGCAGAGGTTTATTTTTGGTTTCTCAGACCGTCATTTTTGTCAAACTCAGGTAAGAAAAATTGTTGATATCTGCCCACAATAAAGAGGAACCGCAAATTCGCATTCTCGTGGTATTATGGTAGTAGCCCTTCTGTGTTGCACGCTCACGAGAAAATTCCATTTTCCAGTTCTGTGCGCCTGTGGCGTCTGCTCGAGGGTTTAAAAATAATTCCGACTGGGGGAGCAGGGAGGGACGCAAGACAAATGCGTCCATCTGGCTCCCTTCACCAAAGTCACCCCGACCTGTGGACCGCGAGCCAATCACGTCTGGGTCATGATAGATCGAGCGCTGTGCATTTAAATTCACTTTAATCTACGAAAAGACGTAGAATTAGATCGGCGCATTAGCTACGTCATTGTATCAGCTGTACCGCGTATTTCACACGTCACCAGAGCAGCGCTCACAACTCTCCAGTTGGACGGTTGGCTTCGTGCAACGTCTGGTATCGATACAGGCTCCACATTTGAATCCTTCGTTCGTGGATTTTGTTTCCTGGTTGCCTAGCTCGTTTTCCCCCAGAGATCTGTCGTTGTTTGTGAAGAGCCTTTGTTCATTAAGTTTAACCCCTTGCAGCTATCGCCAAACATCCCTTAATGCGCTATAAGGGATGACATAATATGGGGCTTAATAATGCGCACTCTTAACCAAATATTATTTGGGTGATCGCATCAAGGAGGATGAGATGGG